TTGGAATAGGTGTTCTTGAACGTCCCTAGCTCTCAGGAGAGGAGTGATGAGGAATGCACCATGCAGATCTGCAGCAGACGCTTTTGGGTGACTAACTCAATAGCTGTTCCCAGCCCTTTCTCCCTTCCCTGCTTCTACTCTAGAAGAGGCTAGAAAAACTCCACACTCCCTCTGTAGGCCTCTTTTGGAGTTAACGGGTGATAATGTGACCAAATTCTGGCTTACAAGACAGAGGGAAGTCTATTGGGGTGCTTCTAGAAAGCCTTTTGCTTTCCTGATGGAAGAAACAGGCATAAGAGAGAGCAGGTCACTGGCACTGTCTCTCCCTTGCTCCTGGCATCCATGCAGACTTGATGCCTAGACCCATGGGACAGTGTGCTGGCTTTGTATTGTGTTGGTCCAGCTAAGCAGCATCTGTTACCCAGAATCCTCCCATAGTTCCAGGTTAGCATTGGCCACAGGGGAAATGTTGCATCAGATCTGGGAGGCAGCAGCTAAGCAGCAGCCATGGTTTTTATGCTCTGAAGGACAACACAAGGCATGAGGAACATTGGCAGTTCTCACACACTGCCGCTGACCTGCTGCCTCACCTTGCTGGCATGGGGCAGCAGAAAGACTCATGGTTCCTCCTGCTCCCATCGGATCTCCTCCTATGGTTTCTTCAAGCCCTAAGCCAAGTACATCTGTAGCTCAGTAAAGGGTACCAGCATGTTTTGCAGGACACTTCATTATTGAGGCTGGAGGTAGTGACAGACAACATGCAGATCCAGTTTGTTCTAACGGACTTCAGTCATTCATGAATTTCAGTTTGTTCTCACAGATTCCAGTCTGTTCTTGCTATCATCCTACATCCAACTTTCTACCTTGACTGCCATGCTGGCTGACCTATAATGACTTCAGACTCAACATTAGAACCAAAGAAAACAAACAGCCATGACAGGACTCCTCCACCAGCTCTCACATCCTCTGCTCTAAGGCAGCACTGTCCAGCAGAACTTTCTGTGATGATGGAAGTGTTTTATACCTGAGCTGCCAAATATGATAGTCATGAGTCTCACGTGGCTACTGAGCATTTGAAACATACCTAGTGCAGCAGAAGAGCTAAGTTACTCTTATTTAATGTTAATTAATTTAAATTTAAATAACCAGATGTGGCTAGTCGCTACAATATTGGACAATGCAGGCCTAGTACATTTTTTAAATTACTTGTAGTGGCTTTATTTCTCTGATTGAATCCTGACTGATACAGGCAGCAGCTGCTAGCTACATGGGGAGAGCATGAAGACACAAAGCCAGCATACTAGGAATCACAGGGCTGGAGGAAGAAGCCGCCTGGGTCCTGGAAGTTCAACCAGCCTGTAATCTTTGAACTTCTTAGATGAGAAAAAAAAAAAAATAGACCCCCAGTGGGCAGTGAACTCTCACCTTGTACTTTCAACAAATCCTGTCTCTTTTCTTGGTGGCATCTTCTTCCTGCAGTGAAGTGGTATAGACCTTGTCTAGTATACCACAGGACACAGATGGTGATCTTAGAACTCAATTTGAAAAAAATGTGTTTATGTATGCATAGGAATCATAATATATAAATTTAAACTCATCTTTGGAAAGAAGAAAGTAATGTCAATAGAACTATTAACAGGAACTGATGTTAGCCTTCTGACCAAGCAGCTGTCTTTTCCTTTATGTTTATCTTTGCTTTCTCCTGAAGAATGACCTACAGGAAATAACCCACCTTCCACCGTCCTTTGAGTTCATGGATACATAAATGAACACTATAAAGTTTAGACTTTAAGAAGTAGGTATTAGTCAGGGTTTGCCAGACACACAGAACCAGAATGATGAATATATGTAAAGATATTTATTATAAAGTATCCACTTTTTCAATTACGAAGGCTGAGAAGTCCCATAATCTGTCATGTACAAGCTGGAGACCCAGTAAAGCTGGTGATAGAGTTTGAAGGTCTGAGAGCTGAAGAGCCAAGGGTATAGATTCCAGTCCTGATCTAAAGGCCTGAAAACCATGAGTGCCAACAGCAGGAGAAGAACAATGTCCCAACTCATGCAGTGAGGCAGAGAGTGGATTCAACCTTCCCCCACTTTTTTAGTTCTATTCAATCCCTAATGGATTGGATGAAGCCCACCAACACTGAGGAGGGCAAGTGCTTCACTCAGTCCACCAACTCAGACACTAATCTCCTCCAAGAACACTTTCACAGATATACTCTGCCATAATGTTTAACCAGCTACTTGGGCATCCCATGGCCTAGTCAAGTCAACACATAAAATTAACCACCATAGTGTTCTCCACATACAATGGCCCCACAAACAGGAACTAAACAATTAGCAAAACTCCATGGCTCAGTTCCAGAATTGAGGGTGTTAATCTGTTTTCTGTTAAGAAACTCTAGGCTGTATGTGAACTGAAACTATATCAAGATGCTGACACTAAAATTAGAAATGGGAAGAAGTAGGTTTTAAACCACGAAATTAATTGGGGGTAACTGACAAGCAAGATAAGACGTGTACTCAAAGGAACAAATGTGATGGTCCAGTTGCTAAGTAGCAACGGCAAACTTATCAACCCTCCTACTCAACAGTCTAGCAACATGGAATACAGCAGAACTGTTAAACCAAACACACACACACACACACACACACACACACACACACACGTATGTGTGTATTCTGTCCAAATTCTGGAAGCAATTAAAAGGAGTAATTTGAACATGTAATGCTAAGCAACACAGTAATAAATAGGATTTTGGCCCCCCAAGATTTATAGGACCCTCTCTAGTCTTCCTCTTGTCACATACCTCACCACAAATGAGACACCCTCAGGGCACTACTCACCCAGACCCCATTCCCCCTCCATTGTAGACCACCTTCCAGGTACTTGAGATCATGAAATTTCCCACTCAAATGCTGATCCCATAGCTCACTTCTAGGGCTTGATCAGGCATCTTCCCTAAGTCCATCCATTCAAGGGTCAACAGCATGTATGAGGTGCATACTTCCAGGACCAAGAGGTGGCTTTTGGGATAGAGTTTGGTTATCAAGAACTATACTGCCCTCGTATTTCTGTGCAAGTCTCCTTGTGGATGCAAGACTGAGTCAGGGTTTAGGAAGATAAGGGGCTCTTCAACTTCACTCTTGCTCTGGTATTCATAAAAGCCAGTGGCAGGCCTGCCGCCAGGTACCCACCCAAAGAAAAGCTAGAGAGAAATATAGAGGAAAGGTTCAATAGTAGGTTTTTGTTGTGAGGGGACTTATGAATATTAAAAAGGTATAAAAACATTTGGAAAATAAGCACTGCGAAAATTCAGTTAATCTAAAATCCCTTATTAAATAGTAAAAACTGCAGTGTAGAATTATGCTATAAACCAGACCCATAGTGTTTTCCTATTAAGAAACACTTCTGATTTAAGTTTAATGTTTCCCCATTGCTTGGGGTAAGATGGGGGAAAGTTGGAGTAGGGGAATAGTCAGAGATGGATGGCAAAGATTGGTGATAAGTTGTTACTGACCTGCAGAGTTTACAGCTTGAAAGAAAAACTGTAGGAGTTAAGATCCTCTTTCCTAGGAATCCATGCCATGCGAAGTTTAGGGACTGAGGTAGTGGCTGCTGTTATGTGAAAATAGGCCTGTAAACTTTGCAAGCGATCCAGTAAATTATGCTTGTTCTAGTGAGACCTCCACCCTTCCCCCAGCTGCCCCCCACCCCCACCCAGCTCCACATTCCAATCCCCAGGCCAGAATCATCAAAGGTAAAAAATATTGATGGAGAGTAAGCAGGTTGTAGCAAGACAGGCTCTTCAGCAGGCAATCTTTCCCTCCTCCCACGTGATGACTGTCTTTCTGGCCAGTTCCCTATGCAGAGCCTTCACTTCCCAGTCAGCCTCCCTTCCCCAAGTGAATGTGACTTCTTATAGAACACAGTTACCCATGTTGTCTGCCAAACTGGATTTTGTTTTGTTTTGTGCTAAACATCAGCCCATTTTCACGACTCTGCAATTATCACAATAGGTGGTAGGAAACCGTTATTGTCAGCTCCAGTCTGAAACTGGCCACTTACCAATACACTGCCAGGAACACGTCTTTCCGGATGAATAACAGAACATGTAAAGATAAGCAGCTAAACAAAATATCAACATTTTCTTACAAGACTGAGCTTCAGGACAGAACAGTAATGTGCAATGGTTTTCATGTTGTATCCACAAACAAATTCTGCACAATTACAAGAAACACTCTTTTTTTTAATTGTTGCCTAAGTGGTTATCCGTTATGGTGTTGACATAGGAAAAGGCGAAATGCTAGTAACCGAATCGAAGCAGCAGTGCAACAGGCCGCTCGGTGGTGCGCATGGCATGGGTTGGTTCCTTGGATGGACAGACTTGCTCCACATTTCCTTCCAATTTTTGTCCCATCCTCTTAGTGTATCTATCATCCAGGGAATGGTAAAACAAACCAAAACATACTGGTCTTACTTCAAGCTGTCTTTGGACTGTTACTCCCTTGTTGCACTCATTTCACGGGATTGGTTTCTCCTAACTTCATTGTTCGGTGAGTCGCTTTGCTTTGCTCGTGGTCCCAATCTTCTGTACGTTCTGCGCCGACCCCTCAAGTGCTCCTGCATTCCCTCCCAGCACTCCGCTGGGGCTTAACACTTCCCAGCCGAGGTCAGACTGCCTTGCACTTGGAGTACCCGACCCCAAGAAAGTGAGAAACGCCCCTCCTGCCAGCCGAGGGCAGCTCCGGAACACAAGCACCCCGTGTGCCTCTGCCCACTAGGTGCTCAGACTCCTTCTCCGGCGCGCCCTAGGGACTCGGAACGCCCCCGCGAGAGTGACGCGTCCTGCCTCCCAGGCAGCTCGCGGACACTCGTACTTGCAAGGCCTGGCCAGCACTTGTGGGCCGGGCCCGCCTCCCCCCGCCCCCCCAGCCATGGTGCGGGGGGCGGAGACGACGGCTCCCCTAGCCTCTGGCTCCAGGCCGCAGCCGGCACGCCGGTAGGCGGGTAGGCGCGGGAGCCTGGAGCGCTGAACGCTGCTTGGATGCAGCAGCCGAGCCACCACACTGCGCGCGGCGGGAGACCCAGGACTAGCCGCCGTTGGCGCCCTGGGTGCGGGAAAGGGACTCTGTATTCCGTCCCTCCCCTTTTTCCTCTGAGTCTCCAAACGCTCCGGCTCTCAGACCCTCCTCCTCCCAGGTAAAGGCCGGGAGAGGAGGGCGCATCTCTTTTCCAGGCACCCCACCATGGGCAATGCCTCCAATGATTCCCGGTCCGAGGACTGCGAGATGCGACAGTGGCTTCCCGCGGGCGAAAGCCCAGCTATCAGCTCCGCGATGTTCTCGGCCGGGGTGCTGGGGAACCTCATAGCGCTGGCGCTGCTGGCGCGCCGCTGGCGACGGGACGCGGGGTGCAGCGCTGGCCGCAGGTGCTCCCTCTCCTTGTTCCACGTGCTGGTGACCGAACTGGTGTTCACCGACCTCCTCGGGACTTGCCTCATAAGCCCGGTGGTACTGGCTTCATACGCACGGAACCAGACCCTGGTGGCACTGGCGCCCGAGAGCCGCGCGTGCACCTACTTCGCTTTCGCCATGACCTTCTTCAGTCTGGCCACGATGCTCATGCTCTTCGCCATGGCCCTGGAGCGCTACCTCTCGATCGGGCACCCCTACTTCTACCAGCGCCGCGTCTCGCGCTCCGGGGGCCTGGCCGTGCTGCCCGTCATCTACGCAGTCTCCCTGCTGTTTTGCTCGCTGCCGCTGCTGGACTACGGGCAGTACGTTCAGTACTGCCCCGGGACCTGGTGCTTCATCCGGCACGGGCTGACCGCTTACCTGCAGCTGTATGCCACCCTGCTGCTGCTCCTCATCGTCGCGGTGCTCGCCTGCAACTTCAGTGTCATCCTCAACCTCATCCGCATGCACCGCCGAAGCCGGAGAAGCCGCTGTGGACCTTTTTTGGGCAGTGGCCAGTGCGGTCCCGGGGCCCGCAGAAGAGGGGAAAGGGTGTCCATGACGGAGGAGACGGACCACCTCATTCTCCTGGCTATCATGACCATCACCTTTGCCGTCTGCTCCTTTCCTTTCACGGTAAGTCACTCCCTACGTTTCCACAGCCCGGCTCTGCTCAGCCTTCTCATGCTTTCCCCTGATGCCCCCACCCTTTCCATTGCCCTACAAACTTTTTGCAACTTGTAAAAGTATGTCCTAATTTGTAAAGATCTGTAGCCTTCCCCACTCACTTCTCTTTAGCCCACTTCCTTCCTCCCTCAATCCTGGCTTATGGGCCTTGCTAGGCTAGAGTTTCTTACACAGTAATACAGACCGTCCAAAAGGGAGTCCTGGTCCTCAGCTAAGCCAGCCAAACTCCTCATCCTAGCCCCGTGCAGTGTCCCTTTCTTGCTGTTGCCTATCTCGGCTTAGTAATTGGGAAAGAGGCAACCCCTTCCACCTTAAGATGGCTGTCACTGTTCCAACCTGACTACATGGAGCTGCGGTTTGCTGTCCTGTACCTCTTACCCACTGATGCTAGCTCACTTGCCTTCTGTTCCTGCCAGGGCAAAATGTAGTACCCAACCCAAGCATTCCAGCTGCCATTGAAAATGATCCCAGATGAGAAGCGTCCCTGTTGCAGAAGTTTAGAGATTTGCCTTAAAAGTCGAACAAACATCTAGTTTATAGGTTTCCCAATTTATATATTTGAATGTAACTCTTTGTGGCCATGAAAATTTTAAAACTATAATGGTATCTAGAGGAAATGTTTGCAGGAACGCCTTGCTAAGCATTTGCCATCTCTTGCAAAACACCCTCTTAATGTCACTGTCAGAAATACACCCAGGTGCTCTTCTGCTTACAGTCATGCACTTGATGAATACAAAGTCACATGCAGGAATGACTGGTCCATCTCAGGAAGGGGAGAGTGGGGCTGCCTGGGGAACTGAAGGACAGGAGCCAGAGTCCTGGCATCGTGCTGCCTTGATTTGGGGCAACTTTAGCAGCTAATTGGTGCTAACTAACTGCTAAATGACATTATGCTGTGAGTTTGAGTCTCTTAAAGTGAAACCTTTTAATTAAGCCTGAAATACGTCTGAGAGCGTGCTGGCCTCTTCCTGGGGCTAGGAATTGGGAGTTGTGACAACTCCACTTCCTAATCTTCAGAAGAGCAAGGCTGACACTGCAGCATCAAAGCAGTTAACAGTGACTCTCACCTGCCACAATCTTGGATAAAAGAAAAGAGATGGGCAGTGCGTACTATTAACAGGTCTGACCTGTAAAAGCTGGAGGAGAAGTAACTTTTTCCTATCTCCTGCCTCCATTACTGCTTCTTTTATCTTCATGTGCTCATCCTCCTGGATGGGAAAGGACACAGGGTCCCAAAAACATGAATATGATTCTCTCCACCCCAGCACAGTTAAATCCCTTTCTTAGCGATGTTCTCTTCTCCCTTCTCCCCACTGCCCTCACCCTTCCACCCCATCATCTGTCAGGACAGAAACTGTTCTGAATTGGTAAGTTAAACCTTCAGGGAATGAGATGGAATATTCAAAGACCCCCTCTTATAAAACGAAGTTTGTCTGTGGGAGGCTTCATCTCCCATACCACTCTGAGCACGGGAGCTCGTGCGACAGAAACGCTGTGATGTAGAAACCCACATGGCTTATATTCTTTTGACTTATTTTACAGGTAGAAGCTTTTGATTACGTTAGGAGCTAAATCAGCTTCTGGAGGTCAGGACTAGGATGCAGAACATATATCTATGAAAGAAAGCATTTCAGGTTCCACTAAACAGCTTTACATTCAACTTGGGGAACAGAAACTATTCCTGAAAGACTATCTTACAGTGGTGAGAATTAGGATGTCAGTTCTTAGAGTTTTATCTGTCATTTGTGAGTACATTTATAAAAATATCGGCACCCTTCCCCCACCCCTCAGCTACTTAAATACCCTGGGAATGGGCTTGGGGTGATATCGGACTTTCAAAATGATTTTTAGTCTCTTTCCTACATGAGTAAGAGTAAAAACGTCTCCTCTTTGACCATGGCTGACCCACTGCATAAACTGCATTTTTTTTTTTAAATAAAGGCAGTGGTTTCCAACAGGTTTCCCTGTTTTCACGTACATTGACCTTTTCATGAGAACTCCATCACTGCCATATGTTTTTGTAAATTCAAATGTGTGTGTATAGTGATATAGATACAGATATATAAATTTTTTGCCCTCCTTCAGTTAATATTAGGCTAAGGGCTGCTTCAGAGTTGCCAAATAGAAGGGACTTAGAGATAGAAGTCTGGCTAAAAGTTTCGAAGGAGTAGGAGCTTTGCTTTGAAGGTATATTTTTATTTAGATTTTCTGTTTGTGGCTTAGAGGGACCAGATGAAGACTATGAAGGGGCTTTAGCTTCCCCAAGCCACTCCTTAGCATTAACACTATCAGCAAATATTTTCTACTTTTGCTTTGGCATATATTACAGCAGAGATTCCCAAAGAGCTAGAGAAAATCTCAGTGTGAACATAATGAAAAAGCCAGCCTCCCTGACTTCCTTTCTTGGAACTACCATGACACCATATCCAGATGAAATAGACACAAAATGGAAATTTGAAGCATTGCCACCTCTTGTCAAGAAAATTTATATTGACCACTGATGCGTTTTGTCATGAGATTATTGAGAATCAATTGCTAGCATCTTTCATTTACATAGCACTTTAAGCTTTATGAAGTGCTGTACTATCTTGATTTAAGTTATTTCTTGAAGGGCTTATCAGAAGTTTCAAACTCATGGCTACTGTTTGGTTCATACATTCTGCTGTTCAGAATCCTTGGCATGTGCCTCCAAGGGAGGCTGCTTTTTTCTCCAAGTCCTTTTATTCTACTTGGCCCACACTAAAACTGTGATCAGAACTGGCCTACACCAATATCTCACCTGAGGCAGGATCATTTCCACAAGTCCTAATGGGGAGCTCTAGAATCAAAGGCTTATGGTTGCCTTCAGAAACATTTGTGTTTCTCTAAGGGAGTGCACATGATCAGATAGAAACCACAATGCAAGCCACAAATGGAATTTTAAATTTTCTAGTAGTCACATAACAAAAGGTAAAAAGAAACAGAGATAATTAATTTAATTATATATTTTATTTAACCCAATATATCGAAATTATCAATTTAAAATGTTACTTCTGTAAAAGAATTATTAATAAGCTATTCCAAGAAAGTCTCTTGTGTTCGCAGAAAATAGTAGCAATCTACCCTAAGTATTCCCAATCCTTCCTCAGGATAACAGGCTGCTTTCTATGTCCCTCAAAAGTTGACCAAACCACTTGCAGCAAGGACAGCTGTACATAGTGGGATATAGTTGATTCCACAACACTCCAGTAGTGGAGAGAGGAGGGGAATGGGTAAATTCAGAAACCTGGAACTACTAATGTCGGGCATTGTTCCAAGGTTTGGGCAGATTGGAATTACTGCTTCCTTCAAAGATACCAGTCTAGAGCTTTCAAAATTTTTGAGGTAAAACTGTAAAAAACAATTTTTTTAAAGGCCCGGTGCCCTCAAGTGAAGTCAAGATCAACCTCATATATCACTATTATCAACTCCAAAATAACTAAGATTTTTGACTGCTAATTTTTACATTAATCCATTATCTTCACAACACCACAGGAAATAGTAAGATGATTTCTACAGAACAGATGAGGCAAATGACTCATCCTGTGTTCCACAGCTGGTGGGTGGTGGAACTGTGATTCAAAGCTAGGCAGTTTAAGACTGAGCCACTGAACCTAACCCCAACACTATCCAAGAGAAAGTACTCATTTCAGGTGTAACAGATGAGAAGATTAATCTAGGATTTCATAAGAGAACTGTGAGAATGTTATAAATATTTGGACCACTTTGCCTCTAAATTCCAACTAGTTAGCTTTAAAAATAAAATGGTGAAGACCTTTTTTCTTCATGTCAGCTCAAGGGAGCTGAGCCAGGGCCAACTATGTGGTTCTCTTTCTTTTCTCCACAGACCTATGAAATAAAAGGCTGAGACCCAGATTCTAGGAGATTGGCTAATGTAAATTCTGGTCTAAATTCAGAAATAATCAGATTATCCCTCACATAAAATCTTTCATCGGAACACATAAAACATCTCTTAAGTGATCAAAAACCATGTGGTGTTTGGGAAATGACATTATTTTGGCTGTCCAATATGAAATTCTGCATGGAACCAACAACATACTCTGAACTGTTTATTCAATAAAGAGATATTGTATAAATTAATAAATTCCTCATGCTAATCAACTATTGTTATCATTTTACAGAGATTAATAGAATCTTTCTTTCTTCCCAAAATGGAACAGAACACAGGAAATATAAAAGACCCCTATCTTGCCTCAGATACTGTTTGTGTCTTCATATCCAACTCATATCAAGGCCCTTTCTCACCACTCTTCTAATAGTAGACAGCTTCTGGCCATTTGAAACGGCTTTCCACATGCCATGAGGATAAAGTGCTTATGCATTTGTATTCAGTTCTAAAATTTCAAGAGTAAACCATTGACTCATTCTAAAAAGTTCTCCGTCTTTAAAAATTTTTTAGGGTTATAACTTCTAGGTAAATCTGATTAGTAGAAATCTGATCTTTGCAATACAAAACAAACTCAAGTAAACAGTACTAGAGTTTCCTGTTCATTTCTGGTACTTGTTATGTGAAATATAATACGGATCGGGGTTGAAAAGCTGATATCACATTGGTAGATTACATACATGCAAAATATAATAATTCTGGTAGGAATGAAAAAGAACTCCAGAAATCTCTGCATATAACCAAAATGAACTTTGCCTGATGATATTTTAAGTTGATGTCCACAAACAACTGGAAGGTCCTTTATAATTTAAGCATCAATAATGATGTGTTTGGGGATTTGTTGAGGCAGTTTTAATATACATTATTATTATTATTACTATTATTATTTTGAGACAGAGTCTTGCTCTGTTGCCCAGGCTAGAGTGCACTGGCACAATCTTGGCTCACTGCAACTTCCGCCTCCCAGGCTCAAGCGATTCGCCCGCCTCAGCCTCCAGAGTAGCTGGAATTACAGGCAGCGCCA